GAGGGCAGGCCAAGATGGTATCCTGTTTCCTTGGTTGGGTGACAAGGCATGGATGGCACTTTTAGTATCAGTGAACAAGCCTTTTGGCTTAAGTTGCAGTGAATGCTTGTCAGCACAATCCTCAAAACCATACAGGTCTTCCATATTTTCAGTCGATAATCTGACTCAGTCAGAATTTAATCTCAGTATACGATCTTTAAATGTGTTGGTTGCTCTTGAGGCAAAATCTCATATCTTCGAGTAGGGAATAGAGAGGACAAATTATGGTTTCAGACTACAAAACTACTTTTCAGTCATTGCCCAGCGCTCCATCCTTCTGTGTGTCGTTTGCCAAGGAACATTTGTGGAAACGTGCCACTCATCCCTTTTGGCGAGGGGTTTGTACAGGAACACACACACAAACTTCAAGGCCCGGTGGCAGGTTTCGCAGAATGCTGACAAAACGTGTTGGACAAACTCCCCAAAGTCCAAGCCAGCGTGGTTATGATCTGGGGTTTTAAAAAGTTGTGGAGTTGAGTTCAGCTGAGGTGAGCCTTTTCCTTATGGTAATTATTTGCACTGTTAGGTGCGGTGTGTTTGTTCAGATACTGGAACCAAAAAGAAGGATGATATTTCAGAGTTAAAAAAAAACCCACAGCAATGAGGCCGAAGCTGTCCTTTGAGGGTGGCCAGGTTGCACGTTGGTTAAGTTCAGGTTGGGGTTCCCAGTCAATCAGCTTTCCAGCCTTCCCTAACCTGGTGTCTTCCAGATGTGTTGGGAATATCACTCTCAGAATTCTCTGCCGGCATGCACAGTTGAGAATTGAGGCAAAATCTGTTAGCATGCACAATCCTGAGAGTTGTGGTGTTAAAAACATCACAAGAGCACCAGGTGACCTGAACGTTAAACCCCTAAAAAGGTGGAGGCCCTCTTGAGTTGAGCTCTTGATGACTACGTGGACATGTCTACATGGTTTCTTTGGCAGAAGTGTGGAGGGGGTTGATCCTTTCCCTCTTCCAAAATGTTTTTTTAACTTTCCAATCTAGCCTATAAACCTGAAATTTCGTGATGACCTCCTGTGTGAGTACTAAGCATCCCTAACCTTGCTTAGTTTTTTTGAGATCAGCCAAAAACAGCTGCGGGGTGCTGGAGGGGGTTCTTATGGTATCTGTCATAAGTGATGTGCAGAATGCATTCTGCTCTTAGCTGCAGAAACTACAGTCCTTGGAACCCTCCTTCCTTCCTTCCTTCCTTCCTTCCTTCCTTCCTTCCTTCCTTCCTTCCTTCCTTCCTTCCTTCCCACCAACCAGTTGATTAGCTTGATCATATGACTGGTGCTAACAGATTTAACAGTGGGAATCCAGCAATCAAATGGATCAGCTGGTTTGCAGGAGAAGTGTCCTAATCAGGAATGTGGGGTGGGTAGAGGTGGAACTAAAGCATTAGTTTCCTCTCTGCTAATGGCATCTTTTCTAATCCACTCATGTGGCTGGCTGGGGAATTCTGGGAGTTGAAGTCCACCCATCTTAAAGCTGCTGAGGTTGAGGAACCTTGCTGTAATACCATTTCATATGGAGCTTTGGCATTTAGAGCAGATGAAGAGGTTTTGCCCAAATCTTGCTTTGAAGGTTTATTAAGACAGGTATTTGTTGTGATGACAGAGTCTTTTCTGGAGTCTCGCCTCTGCCTTCACTCTCTCACATGACCTGCTTGGAGAATCCCAGATCCAGTCTTTCCAGTTTGATCCCCATAAGTGGTGACTGTTGTGATCTGGGGAGGTTCTCATTTAGCTTCCCAGCTGCTGTATTGCTACTATGCTGCCAGTGGCTTCATTCGTTATTTAGAAGTTGCTGAGGCACTTAGCTGTTCATGAGCTTTCATGCGTAAAGCATTAGAAAACGGAGTTATTATTTCTTTCATCTATCTTTTTGGGTGTCTAAGAAACAAGACATTTGGCAAAGTCCAAATTAATCATCTGAGGGGAGCTGCTTTGGGGTGTCTTGACTTCCAAAAGGATTCTTGTTGACATTAAAGCTTACATTAAAAACTGGTCCCTACATTTGCTTGCTTGTTTCTTCACTCTGGATATTGTTCTCCTTTTGTATTTATTGTGCTTGACAGATATTTGCGGGCAGACTTTCTTAGAATGCTTAGAAAACTTTGATGCATTTAATAAATGCTGGGTGAAGTTACTTCTCTTTGGCAGCAATGAATTTAACCTGAGGCATATAGTTCACAGAGCCCATGTTGCTTTTAAGTTTCTTTCAAAAGGAATTTCCATTTAAAACCCCTACGTGTAATTTCTCAACCACTCCACTTTTCTCTTTTTATGTAGGATGCTTCAAAAAAGGAAACATAAAAAGATGATGCCGTTAGATGTTCTTTTCTGACTTTTTCGCCTCCTTTTTGTTTTGCTTTTCTCAGCTGGCTTGTTTTCCAAGGCCCTGTGAATTTTTCGGCCGGTGCCTCCAAACAACACCTAGGAGATGTCACAAAAAAATTGGGAATCTGTCTCACCCCACCCTCATCCATTCCCTGGGAGCAGAGGAGATGGGCGGAGACCAGCTGGGCTAAGTCATGCTATCTAGCTGGATTGTCAGGAGTAGTGGTGGAAACATCTTCCCAGCTAGCTGAACACAGAACTGGCTGGAGAAAAGTTTACTGGAGACTTGCAGGTCAGGAAAGAGCAAGAGGGACTGTTTGGGGCTGAAGTTGGCGATTCTCATGCTTTTAAGGCAATTTGTAAGTTCTCCCTTATCTTAGAGGCTGCAGCGGATAAGCATTGCTTTCAGTGACCAGCTTAGAAATACTTTTCTAAATCCAGTTTCTGATGATAAGGAAGATATCAGTAGCTGGGACTGTAAAGACTTCCTTGGGTGGGGTGGAAAATTTTCTGGTTTTAATGATGCTTTTGAGAACACTTGATTCCTAAGTTTTAATGCAAGATACTGGAGTTTCTGGACTCCAGGAAATGGACTTTACTGGCTAATTCTCTTGTATAAGAGGATCTGGAGGTTGGGCCTACATAGGGAGTCAGGAAGATGACCTGGATGGAGATATGCAGGATCCGTTGCCCAGACAAAAGGAGTGAAACATTTTTTAAGTCCAGAACTTTGAGATAATATTTAACTCTGGTGTGTGATCGTAATAAAGACATTTGAATTTCGATTTGAGATAATATTTGAAAGAAGATGCTTCCCGAGTTCACTGGAGTGCTGTATAAGGAGGGGGAGGGGAAGTAGGATTTGCAGGAAGACTTGCAGGAGTCTGTTCTTCTAGGCAATCTCAGTAAAAGTAGTTTTGGCCTTCCTGTGAAGTTGATTTCTTGCCCTGGTCTACCAAGCGGGGCTGCCAGCCTATAGCTCAGGAACAGATCCTGCATTCGCTGTTCTGCATCTGCAAGCATGACTCAGAATTGCTGCTATCTCAAATCCACAAGTCAGCTGCTGGCCTGGCATGATATGGTATTGAGTAATCATCTGGTTAGCAGGAGTTCTCCCTGGGTACTTATTAATCCATTTCTATCCCATTAAAAGTTGCAATTCAGTGTTGTGGTTGTGCAGGGTTAACGGAGGCACGGCAAGGTCGGTAGCGGTTATCTGCAGACGTGGGGAGGGTCTCTGTGCATCTGTGCATTACAGATCTAAAGAAAGTATTAGGGATGTGTTTTAGGAAGTGGCCAAACCTTCTGAAGGAAGGAACTTTGCTTCCTAAAAGACATCAGATGTTAGCAAATATAGGCAACAGTTGCTCCTTTGGTCCTTACTGTTTTTCCATCTGTTTTGGGGGCAGTGAGGGGCGGGTCTGCTCACTTTGCGACTGCTTTTTGTATCTGTGTTCTGGCATTGCCTGCCTCCCATCTCCGTATGTGCCTGATCTTAAGAGGTGAAAGTGCCAAAAGAGAAGAGAGGGGGGAGAGAGACGATGGCAAGTAGCTTTCAAGAGCATTATTCTGCCGTTAAGAGGAATTTGATCGCGTTTAGCCTCTGACCACATAGGAATTTCGTAATTAATTCCTGAACAAGATGGAGAGGTGCCAAGGTGACATTCCTATTTTCACGATGTTGATTTTCACATGCAAAAGCCATTCTGTGCCATGCACAAGTTTCTCCACCTTCTCCCAAGGCTTCTCCAGCATAGTGCTTACACAGCAGGAATTCACTGCAGTCCCCAGTTTAAGAACAAGTTCTGTTCCCAAGGTCTGTCCATAAGTCGAAATTGTACTAAGCCGGAACAGTATTATCATATAAGACTGTTTAAGGAGTATTGTGTAATGAACTTGGACCATTGTGTATTTAATTTGAATCACTGTGTATTTAACTTGAATTTTGTTACAGCAGGCTCTGTTCTTAACTATGGGTCACGTATGACTCAAGCATTCTTAACCCGGGGACTATCTGTACTACATTTATGACTTTACATACTGCTTTCTCTGTATTAAATGTCAGCATGGATTTTTTTCCAATAGCAAAGAGTATTGGAACTGAAACATTTCATCAGGGGAAAGTTCAGGAAAGCACAGTGATTCTGGTTTTAAATATTGCAGTCAAACCAATTCAGAGTTTTACTTTGACATTTTTTCAGTTATTTTATGACTTGACAGTCAGCATGCCATTTCTTTACCATGTTCAGATTTTTAGAGGGGAAAATGAAGACACTGAAAATTGCTGTCAGGAAGACTTTGCTAAATCGTGAATGAAAATATATGTTTTCTCAGGGTAAACCACCTAGGTTGTTCTATAAAAACAACCAGTTTGGCAAAAACGATTCATTAGCCACTTTTGCAGATTAGGGTAGCTATGAAGCCCTTGGACAGGGGAAGCAGTAAGAGATGGAGGAGGAACTAAGTTGTCACTTTTCTAACGTTCTTTGCAATTACTAAGCTCTTCATTTTCTCAGTAGGAACATTTGGAGGAATGCTGAAAAAGAAATGAGCGTTCGGTATTCATGTTTGGAGTGAGCAAAACGTGTTTATTTCATCGTACTGTACTCAACTCAGTTAACCCATTTTCTGGATTAAATTAGTTGAATTAGGGACTAATCAAAATACCTTTATTTTCAAGGCACTTTAAACTAGGAGAAACTAATTCGACTACACTGACCAGGCCTAGCTTGTTGTGAAAGGGAAGCCACTGGGTCTTTCGCTAATTTAGCTAAGCGTGATGGGTGAACCCACCCAAAATCTATTGGCAAGCAGTAATGTCAACACTGTAGATGTCAGTATTTTCAGTACTTATTTATTTGTTAATTAATTTCATCCCGTTTTTCCATTAGGAATCCCACTTTGGGATTGTTACATATTAAATATATTATATATACACACACACACACATACAGTAGTGTGCAAAAGTTTTAGGCAGGGTCTCACCGCACTCAGTCTCAAAAGGCCAGAGGGCAAATCCACACCCAGAATCTCCCACCATTTCCTCGTGGCTTGTTTGCTGGTGTCGTGTGGACACTCAGCACTGTCCTAAAAACACTTCTGGGGCCTACATGGCAGTGTTCCTCAACCTTGGCAGCTTGAAGATGTGTGGACTTCAACTCCCAGAATTCCCCAGCCAG